TACTATTACTATTACTATTACTATTACTATTACTATTACTATTACTATTACTATTACTATTACTATTACTATTACTATTACTGTTACTGTTACTATCAATATTACTATTAATATTTATTGTTTTTAGACACTTAACGGATTTTATATGCGTAGTTAAGGAAATAAGTTGGAGAACTGATGGACCCCTTTTCATAGCTAGTAGAAACTGAAGACCAAACTGAATTATCTTTCATTTGTATTGCATGCGCTCAGAAGGGGGCGCCTTTTGGCCTTCAGTTTATCAGTGGCTTCTGGAAGTTAAGACACAAGAATAAGTGCAATAACAGCTACCCGTCGGTTAAGGGCTTAAGGTTTAGGGTTTAGAGTTCGGGTTGCGGAGACCAATTTGCCTCAAAGGGTTCGTGCGGATACTTGCCAAACTCAAACCCCAGCAAATGAATAGAAGGAGAAGTAGCAGAGAAAGAAATAACAACAAAAGCAATTGGCAGAGAGGCAGCAGCACACATATCAAAGGCCACCGGGCTCTTGCTTTGCTGTTTTCGACAAAGGCAAAACTGGGCCCTTGGGTCTTCTTCGACCAAAAACCACGTTGAAGAAAAAGAAAAATCACAAGATGTAAGATTAAAATGCTCACAAGCAGACAAACAGATAAAGCTGGAAGCAGGAAGAATCTCCTGGCTTCTAATGCTCAAACGGATGCCCTTGCATGCGTTGGGCTGTATTTACAGAGCAGAGTTTGTTCAATGGACCCAAATCGAAACTCTCGTTTTAATTCAGATGTTTCAACGCAGCTGTGCTTGCTGCTGCGAAGCTAATTTAGCTTCATATACTTTACACATGTGTTTGTACTTGTGTTTGTATGTTTGTTCATTGCTTGCTCAGCTACGCAGATAGACAACCTTCCAGAAAACCATACAGAACTGTTCTTAAGAAACCTGCTTGCTATGATATTTATAAAACATATACTCATGCATGTGCTTGTTCCGTGTCTAAGTTGGTTGGTAGAAGGCCTGCATTTGGGCCGTAGGCATCATATACGCACAACTGCTTACGTAGGAACTTGTAGGACTAAAGATGTGTTTGTGCTATAGAAATAAATGCCCAGTAAGCCCCACTTACTAGTAGAGGAGCCCACGCACAGACACAGTTGTTCATGTGTAGGTTTGGGGTTTAGGGTTTAGGGTCCAGAGCTTAGTGTTTAGGGCCTGGATTTAGGGTTTAAGGTCGTCGAAAGATACAGCCCTGTGCTTGTTTTGTAGGTGCATGCATATTCTTAGAAGATATATTTGTAGATGCCTGTGCATATAGACTACCTGCTGTGGCCGCAGCCGCTTTTCCTAGACATTCCCCACTTGCTGAGCTAAATTAAAGTTCAAACAAAAAGGAAAAAGAATTTATGTTTACACAGCTTGCCATATATACTGTTTCCTCTTATTTCTCAAGGTCACTAAACTGCTGAAGCTGCAGCAGAGCCGAATCAGCTGTGTATAGACCAGGAGCGCACTCACAACAACAAGTTCATTTACATTTATTCCTTCTCACTTAAAAGAATTAGAGGAAATAACTAAGTACAATGCCAAGCTCCTATGGAGGACAGGCTGGAGAGTGCTTTGGGGGCCCCCCAGGGCCCCTGGTGTTTCAGGGGCCCCTTCAATAGATCAGAGCTTCTGAGCAATCCGGGTGTTGTAAAGAGGCAAAAAAACCGCAATTCCGCGATATAATATTCATCTTTCACTTTATTGTTCATTTCAAAACCACTGAAAGCAGTCTTTTACGCCTACTGTGGGGCCCAAGGGCTCAATTTCCTGGCTGTGAGCAGCAGCCTCCGCCTCGTTGCTTCTTCATTCCTTTTGCCTTCCATTTAGCCTGACTATTACTCCACGTGCTTTGCAGAGCCTTAAAATACTGGGAATAGGGCCAACGCAAGAAGTTGAATTCGCTCGAGCCAGGCTCAGCTTGCAGCAGCAGCAGCAGCAACAGCAGCAGCTGCAGCAGGCAGTTCTTTCGCCCGTCTGCGGAGAGGCTCTCAGCAGATTGCTGCTGCTGCTGCTGCTGCTGCTGCTGCCTTCGCTCCCGGGGGCTCCTGCTGAGCAGCGCAGCCTCTCAGAAGAAGGCCTTTTGCTTCATTCAAATGATTCAGTAGAACTCGCAGCAGCAGCAAATTCAATTTCGTGCAAGTGCCGGGGTTCGAACCGTGGCTGCAGCAGCAAATTCAGCTTCTTGCAAGTGCTGCGGTTTGAAGAGGCTTGCGAGGGTTCGATCCCTTGCTGCAGCAGCAAATTAATTGTGCAAGTGCAGCAAATTAAATAAATTTGTGCAAGTGCAGGAGAATTTGATTTGCTGCAGCAGCAAATTAAATAGATTTGTGCAGGTACGGGAGAATACAATTTGCTGCAGCAGCACATCAAATAAACCTGTGCAAGTGCTTGACAATATAATTTGCTGCAGCAGCAAATTAAATTTGTGCAAGTGGGGAACAATATAATTTGCTGCAAGTGCTTGACAATATAATTTGCTGCAGCAGCAAATTAAATTTGTGCAATTGGGGAACAATATAATTTGCTGCAGCAGCAAATTGAGTAAGTTTTGGGGGAATATAACTTGCTGCAGCAGCAAGAGCTGTTGCTGCAGCAGCAAATAAAGTTCGTGCCAGTGCCGGGGTTCGAACCCGCGCGGCGGCGGGGCCGCAGCAGGAAATGCGGTGGCTCAAAGGCGCGCAGCGGGAGCTGCTGCTGCGGGGGTCACCTGCGTTTCGAGTGGGAGTTTGGGTGGCAGGCATTGGAGGGGCTCTTTTGTGGATTTATTTCGAAGAAATAAACAAACCTTTGAAAGAAAGAGTTCTATTTCTCCCCGCGAAGCGACAAATCCCCATGGAAGCAGCAGAAATCGAAGCCTGGAACCGCGGGCTCTCCGGCGGCAAGCTGCTGCACTGCAGCAGCAGCGAGCAGCAGCAGCAGCAGCAGCACGGCGTCGAGGCCGCCAGGGCCAAGGCCCTCGAGGCCATCAAGCAGCAGGAAGCAGCAGAAAAAGACAAGCAGCAGCAGCAGCAGCAGCAGCAGACATGGCTATCCAGCTTCCTTGGCCTCAGCAACAGCACGGAAAGCGCAAAGCCCAAAAAGGTTTCCTTTTTTTCCGACAAGTGAAACAACGAGAGATTCTCTAGTCCCTGCTGCGCTGCTGCTGCGGCTGCTACGCCACAGCAGCAGCAGCAGCAGCAGCAGCAAAGACAGGGGTTTTTGCAGGGTTTGTTCAACTACGAAGCGCCCGTTCGCGTCTGCCATTGCTAGACGCAGAAGGGCGCTCGGCTCATATATGCATTTACACTAGTTGCAGCAACCTGCTGCTGCTGCTGCAGCAGCAGGTTGCTGCAACTAGTGCTGCTGCTGCTGCTGCTGTTGCGACTGCTGCTAGTGCTACTCGCCTTCAGGCCCCTCAGCAGTCCAAGTAAAGGAACGCAGACGCATGCGCGAGGAGGGGCCCCCCGAATGTTCTTTTGGGGCCCCCTCTGCGTGTTCAGATAGATCATTTGCTGCTGTTGCTGCTGCATCCGGCGTTTCTGCAGCAGCAGCAGCGGCAGTTTCTGCAGCAGCAGCAGCAGTTTCTGCTGCAGCGGGAGCTGCTGCTGCGCCGCCGCCGTTGAGCTGCTGCATCGCCGAACGGTGGGGGCCTTCTGGGGGCCCCAATTGTTCTTTTTTTCTTTTTTCATTTAAAGTTTTTTGAACTTCTGACATAAGACTTTCCAAACGCTGAGGGGTCAATTCTATGCCAAACAGAAGCGAGAGAAAACGCTCAGACTGCAGCAGCAATGCAGCAGCACACACAATTACGAACTCTTGCATGCAAAATTAATAACGAGCTGAAAGTGGCATTTAAAAGGATATCTGCATGCACAACTTCACACAATTACGAACTCTTGCATGCAAAATTAATAACGAGCTGAAAGTGGCATTTAAAAGGATATATGCATGCACACTTCTAAATGCTCCATTATGTAATTCAATGCATGCACATAATTGCATGCACGGAAAGACCGCAATATATTACATGTTGTAGAAAATATTTATATCCATCTTATGCTCACCCAATATACTTTAGATAATATGTATGAACGTGTAGTCCATATGAATTACACTTTAAGGCATTTTCATTTTCTAAAGTATATTCAAGATGCGCAGCCGCATGCAGACAGACAAAGCAGCCAAATGCATGCACAAGAACTTCCCTGCCGCGCTGCTGCTACTGCTGCTCTCACTACTGCTGCTGCTGCTGCTGCTGCTACTGCTGCTGCTGCTGCTGCCTCACATGTATGGCTTGGAAGCGTGTTGTCGTGGAGGGAGAAAGGATGGCCATGCATTCATCTAGCGATCCTTTTTGCAGCTCTTCATGGAAGTAAGACACAATCGCGAGCGATGCCTACGCAGCAGCAACAACAGCAGCAACGACAGCAGCAGCAGCAGCAGCAGATGCAGCAATACAGCGAACGGCTGCAGCAAACCATCCCGCAAGACACCAGGTCTGCAGTATCCTGAGGTATTCATTCATGCAGGAAGGGCAGCCCATTAGCTGCGGGGCACAGCAGCAGCGTGAGGGCCCCCAGCAGCAGTGTGGTGGACTGCAGCAGCAGTATGGGGCTCCCCTGCAGCAGCATGGGGGCCTCCTGCAGCAGCATGAGGGCCCCCAGAAGCAACATGGGGGCCCCTAGTTGCTTCTGTACCTGGAAGAGAAGAACATCTCCTTTAATGATGAACAAGTCCCACACGCGGCCTAGGAGCTCAAAAGGAAGACACCTGGGAGCCGCAGCAGAAGGCAATAGTTGCTGTTTAGGTAATTTGGAAAGAAATGCAAAAGAAATTAATTAATCAAAAAAAAGAAAGAGAACAGCAAACACGAATGTAAATAATATGCAGAAGAAACCGCTGCAGCAGGCGCAGCAGAACTAGCAGCGGAGCAAGCAGCAGCAGCCGAGTCCGCAGCTGCAGCGCAGCATCAGCTGCAGCAGCTATAGCAGCAAGAGCAGCAGCAAAGATATGCACAGCAGCAGCACAGACTCACACGCACACGAAGCAGCATCAGTAGCGCAGGAACGCGCACACAGCAGCAGCAGAAGCAGCAGCAGCAGTAGCGAAGTCACACACACAGCAGCAGCAGCAGCAGCGCAGCACCGGGCACACACCAGCAGCAGCAGCACTAGCAGCGGCGCAGCCACACAAACACAGAGCAGCTGCAGCAGCAACAGCAGCCGCAGCAGCAGCAGCAGCAGCAGCGAGACAGACCTAGTGAATAAGGTGTACATCCAGTCCACAAGGAAAACGTCAGTTTGAAGTCCAATCTGCTGAAAGTGCTGCAGCAGCAGCGGGTGCTTCTCCCTCAGCAGCAAATCGAAAGTGCGGAAGTAGCCCTGGACTGTGGCCATGTCGAAGGTGTAAAACGCATGCAGCGACGGCCGCAGCTGCAGCAGCAGCAGCAAGCAGCAAGCAGCAAGCAGCAGGCAGCAGCTACCGTGGCCAGCTAGTTACTGTTTCTCCTCGTTTTGCTGCTGCTACATTATTCAAACGAGGTCACTTTAAAACTCAATTGATCCACTGTGTGCTGAGGTTTGCACACTTCTTCACATCATCGCACTGCCTCGAGAAACAGCAGCAGCAGCAGCAGCAGCAGCGGCAATTGCAGCAGCAGCAGCAGCAGGAGCGGCAATTGCAGCAGCAGCAGCCGCAGCATGAGCATAGGCAGCGGCATGCGCCTGTGCAGCAGCAACAGCAGCAGCAAGTCTATCCTAAGCAGCAGCAGCAGCGGCGGCGGCAGCACGCTCCTCCTTAGCAGCAGCAGCAGCAGCAGCAGCAGCAGCAGCAGCAGCAGCGGGTGCGCACCATGAGGTTGGCGAAGCAGACGAAGGCCGAGTACTCGTCCATGTACAGCAGCAGCGTCGCAGCAACAAATGCCATTCCTTGCACATAACCCAAGTCCGGCCGCAGCATCACAAAAACTTCCAAAACATTTTGCAAAAAAGGTTCCATTCGGTCCCCCCAAGACACTCCAAAGGGTACAGGAGTCACTGCCTGCGAAGGGGGGGGGAGGTTGGGGGCCCCCGCGCCTGCGCTGGGGCCCCCGGGGGCCCCCGGGGGGCCCCCGGGGGGGCCCCCGGGCGGGGCCCCGGGGGGCCCCGCGGGGCCCCCGGGGGCCGCTGGGGGGCTCTCGGGGGGGCCGCCAGCAACTGATGACTCAGCAGCAGCAGCGTGGGAACCGCGGGGCCCAAATGGCTCTTTCACAGCAGCAGCAGCAGCAGCAGCAGCAGCTCCTGCAGCAGCGGCCGAGCTGGGCAAACCCGCTCCGATACAGGCGCCTTCTCGCCTGCTGCTGCTGCTCCCGCTGCTGCTGCTGGTGCTTGTGCTGCTCTTGCTGCTGCTGCTATCCACGTCGGACGGCAAGGGGTCGGAAGCAGCAGCAGCAGCCACTGCTGCTGCTGCTGCTGCTGCTGCGTCGTCTCCAGATGAGGCCTCACGCGGCGCCGACGCATCGCCAGAGACAGCTCCCTCCCCCTCTTTCCCGTGCCCAGCAGCAGCAGCAGCAGCAGCGGGACCTGTTGTTGCTGCTGCTTCTGCTGCTGCTTCTGCTGCTGCGTCTCCTGGCTGTGTCTTTGCTGCAGCAGAAGACCCCGAAGAACTGAAAAGGCCCAAACGCGGCAAAGTGCGGTGAAGGTCCGCAGAGATGGCCAGAAACGAACTAAATACCTCATCTTCCCACATGAAGCAGCCCGTGCTGCTGCTGCTGCTGCTGCTGCTGTTGCTGCTGCTGCTGCTGCCGTCACTGTTCGCGGAAACGGACTCTCGGGGGGCCCCACATCTGCTGCAGACGGCGGGCGCGTCACTTGGGGGCCCCTGTTTGGGGTCCAGGGGGGCCCCCCCGCTGCGGGGCCCCTGGGGGGGGGCCCCCACAGCCGGCAGGGGGGCCCCCCCTATGCATTCTATTCTCTCTCTGTACTTTGCATTTGTCAGCAGCAAATGTCTTCGCGCTGTGTTCATTCGCGCCAGCAGCAACTCGTAGTAGCGGGGGCTCAGGCGCAGCTGGTCCCCCAGAGCCTGCAGCAGCAGCAGCAGCAGCAGCAGCAGCAGCAGCAGCAGCAGCAGCGTTAGCAGCAGTGGCGGCAGCAGCAGCGATGGGCCAAAGGCTCAAGCAGCGTGGCTGCTGTGCGCGTGCAGCCCTAGCGCCG